TTAAACTTATTTTTCACCTCGTTTTGTGTCAGTCATTGGGAGTTGCGCGTAGACACCGACCCTCAGTTCCGTAAATAAAGAGTTTGAACGTCAGTTTGCAACCTTCCAGACCAATTGGTGTGTCGTAATAGTTTATAGTGGGTCTGACTGTTTTTCTAAAACTTGTCACACCCAATTGACGCCCGTTTGGGTATAGCGCGACGACCAACACATATTCACTGGACTGCGTCTATGGTTTAGCCTTTTTCAATGTTTTTTTTGCTCCTTAAATAGTGCATTCTAGTGAGAAGGCGATATTATTTCACATGTTTTCGTATTTTATTGTGTCTGTGGTTTATACATAGTCACTGATGATTATGGGTTCGAGCATAAATCCGACTATCTGTTATCACCCACGCAAGCACTAATTTGAACAGTTTTTGATATCGAAATGTCGCCATTATTTCTCCAGACTCCCTTCTTGACCTCTGCGCGAGAGTAATGTTCGTTTCCGAGTCCTGAAGTCAACGATTTCATTCATAAAGGACACCGTTAATACCGACTGAGATGGGTCCAACGTACCAGTTACACATACAATAGAACCTCGGTTAACGAATCTAATCCGTTCCGCCACCGAGCTCGTCGTGTGAAGCACTCGATTTGCGAAGCGTAGCCAATGTGTAATGGCACCTTAAGGTACAGTTTTCTCCCCGACAATGACCTACTACAATGTCCTATCTGGACTGCCGGCTCTGAGAGGGGGTGATTTTTAACACAGGTTCAATCATTTAACTATTATTAGTTTGTTAAATGAATAAAGCACAGTAAAACCTCGGTTAACGAGTTTAATCCGCTCCGACACCGATGCCGTCATGTGATACGCTCATCTTGCGAAACGTGACCAATCAAACTGCATCAGTTCACTGATTGATTGCAGGCGACGGAGGACCCACGTCCTGGGAGAAAGCCTCAAGGCCGGACACAGGCACTGACAACTCGTTAACCGAGTAGAAGCTTGTCAATCGAAACAAATTTTCTGCGGGTGGTTCGCTCGTACCTGAAATGCTCGTAGATGGGGCTGCTCGTCACCCGAGGCCCCATGATACAGGACACATATTTAGTGGCTAAAATGAATAATTTCGAGTGCATCGTATTGGCAGTTACTGAACGTGCTGCTTTTTGGGTTATGTAGCCTGTATATGATAAAATAATCGCGCACAGTATTCCTCTCCTTTTCTGTCGACATCAAGCGCGGGCGGAGAATGCGAGATTTATATTTGTTCACTTTTGTCCTCTTCTGCAGAACCTAATCTTCATGGTCAGGTATGCTGGAGAATGCTTTTCAGAGGTACAGGAGATTTGTTTATGAGCGAGATTAACGCTATTCTAATGGGTGGAAACCGGTTCAATTGGACTCTTTAACGGGAATCGGAACGTCCTTTTAATCGTGTCAACATAGCTTACGGAAAACATGCACGTGCCAGAAACAGCAATGTCACTGCATTGAACAAACCAACTGCCAACCGTCAACCCAAGTTCTGCTTCGTGTACCTTATGTGTGACAACCTATTGAGGCCGACAGGACTGTCCGTTAAATCTACTTCTCCGTTATAAAATGCGTGTGCTGAATTTCTTAGATATTTTCAATGCTAGACCTGCACACGATTCGATCACGGCTTTCCTATTTTTTATTTCTCATTTCAGAAATGACAGCTCCTTCAACTTCTTCATATTTTTCTTCGTCTTCTTCGCTCAGTGCGTAGTTTTGCTGATTCAGTTTCTTGGTATCATGAATTGGGGAACTTGGTAAGCAGTTTTTACCTCCACTTCTTTTTCTTCCCCGCGCAATTTCTTAAGTCTCGAGGACCCTTGTTTTAATAATCCAACACAGTTTAGCACGAATTTGAATGAGTGCCCACAGGTTACTTGTATGCCTTGCTTGGCTGTTTTGTCCGTAGGAATGAACCAGAAAATCTACTTCCGGAAGCGATAGCAGTGACTTCTCACGGTTTTAAGTTGACCTTTCTTGTTCGGACCCCACTTCGTTAAGAAGGGGCTAATGCAACTTGACTCCCAGCTTGTAGAATCGAG